TAATAACGAAATCAAAACTAATCATTTCGGAAGCAAACCAGCCTTTAGGCTGAAAATCTTCTATAAAGTTATAAAAATTTGCTGCAAGATGAATAATTTATACCTAAGTTTAGTAGACGTATTGCGCATTTATCTCTATTTTAATTTTCTATCTCGGATCATTTGGATCTATTTTTCCGATAATTATAGCTACGCCCTTCAGCCAATGGCAGAATCCAGCAAAAAGTGACAGCTAAGCTTACCGTGCCTGATTGCGGAGACTGAAAACGTCTACCATGTACCATTTTTGCAAGTACTTTTATTTGGTAGAGTAAATTAATAATTTTCAAACGATTTTATCTATCTTTAAGCAGATTAAAACAATCCATATGGGAGTAATCGAAGCCATAAACGATTTCTCGATGATTTCGATACTAAATCAGATGGTAATTTTATATCGTTCAGGCTTTAATCTATTATTTTCGAGTTTGCACTCGGAGAAAACATTTTTCACATTCTTTCAGTTTCTTGTCTAATTCGTTCAACTGCTGTCAATTTTGAGTATATGTACAGTCATCTGCTTCGTAGAATCAACACTTGTTCTATGATTTCTTAGCTTCCAACGATAGCTATTTCGCTGCTCGCTTGAGTAAATGTATTGACCAATAATGGATTTATCCAAAATCGGTTGAAATGCTTTTTTCTGCCAAAACTGCTTTGCAATCATTTTCACCACTTTCATAAACACAATAACACTAATAGTTTAAAGTAAGGGTGCAATTTTTAATGCCTTCCAATTCTACTTGAGTGCCGTTACTGGTCCTCATTGTGTCTAATATTTGCATGTATTTTATAACTTCAAAATTGGCTTAATGGCGAGATTTTAAGAACTTGTAATAATTTATACATAAATGCTGTATAAATATAGTTATACAGAATCATCCAAATTTAAGGAAGCTCAATATATTGCAGTGGTTTGACAAGCTTAATAGACCAGGGTTGTTCATAAAATCTTTAAAAAGTCTGACTTTTAAATAATTTTTTGATCAAAATTGTGCTTACTCGGTTCCAAACTCAAACCGGCGCGCTGCTTAAATAAGATCATTTTTGTTATAACAAAGCTAAATCTAATAGAATTTTTATTATTAAAAAAATCGGAAAATTTAAACGAATTTCCGGGGGCGATTCCGGCGTAACATCCATACTTCTCACGCCAAAGTCACGAGTTCAAATCTCAACCCTGGACAAGTCACGAATGACCCAAGAGTGTTAAAGTGACTATAATAATAATAAAAAATGAATTTCCAATCAAATTGATAGAACCATTAATGTGTTTCTTTGTAGAGTTCTTTTTAATATCACAATTCGCAATTTCAAGAACATTAATCTCTAGATTTAAGAGTGGTTTAGTTCTGTACATTTCAGACATTACTTACCTCTTTGCTGCAAACAGTAAGAAGTGGTTTTAGCTGTATGTGTATTTACAAAAACCTTATTTTTTTAGCTCGTGAAATTGCTAAGTGTAATCCAAAAAAGTGATGCCACAAGGAATCACTTTAAATTTAATTATTAACTTAATCAATTATAATTAATTTAGATAATTATTAATAAAATAATTATTTTCCAATAGCATAAATTGTAAAACCAGATTTTTTTAGTTTTTAACCAAACGGAAAAAAAACCTGGAATTTTTAAATAAAAAAAAATTCTTGCCACCCTGAAATTTCAAAGAAATAAAAAAAAATCGTTCGGACTATTAACTCTGTCAACAAACTTTTTATCACATTTTTTTTATAATTAAGTGATCTGACTAGTGTAAAGAATAAGATTTTAACGGGTGTTCAATAAAAAATGAGAATGATTTCAGTGCCGTCCAGCGCTCTTGTGAGAACATCTCGACTAAGTTGCGTCGTACGGTTGACCAGGGCATCCAATATTTATTGAGGTTTTTTTTTGAAGAATAAATTATGTTTTTAATAAAAAATACTGAATTCGTTGAAAAAACATTTTTTTTACTTGCTATATGACTGAAAAAATTCTCATTTTTTATTGAACACCCGTTATATCTATTGTGCGTGCTTGAAAATAATATACCATCACATATAGATTCTGTAAGGTCTACCATCACGCAGGCTTGCAATTGTTCATTACAGCTAAAATGCTATTTTTCGTAATTATGCAACAATGAGATACTATAATGATAATTTTTATTTGTAAGATGCAAGAAGAGGTGGTAAAGTTTGTGTATGACATATAAAAATTTGTCAATTTTGCTTTCAGAAGGTCACAACTAGCGATTAGCTGTAACGATGAACAACGCGATGAGCGAGCAATCAGCGATCATAAAATCGCTAGTTGTGACCTTCTGAAAGCAAAATTGACCAATTTTATATGTCATACACAAACTTTATCACCTCTTCTTGCTTCTTACAAATAGAAATTATCATTGTAGCATTTTAGCTGTAATGAGCAATTGCAAACCTGCCATCACGTATAGATTCTGTAGAGGGCGGAGCCGAAATTCAACTAAGCAGGACATTTAAATTTAAACAACATTTAAACCGGGTTCTCTCAACAATTCTGGGTGCTAAACAAAATCTACCATCACGTATGGAATCCATGCTCGTCTTTCAAAGGAAGGAGCTGAAATGCAACTTGGCAAACCAGCGAAAGCAAATGAATTTCCATGATTCAGCGAGGCCAATTCTATTAAATTCAAAGCAATTGGTCGAAGGGCACAACAAAAGTTTCAATTTTGTCGACGAGTGTAATTTACATGCAGCTTAATAAATTTCAAAATTCTGATATAAGTCTCATTTCAAATTTCAAACTTCAAAAAATGATCTATATTATGTAACATAATTTTACAAAATTCTGAACATTTATTTTGTTACACAAAAGAGGGTGGTCTAATTTCTATATTTAAAATAAAATCCGTTGCTTTTTTTCAGTAACATCAATTGCTGAAATCAATCATGCTGGTATTCTTTTTATTACCATATTTAGCTGTTTATATAAAATTGGCACCCAGGAAAAAAAAAACTGGGAATTTAATTTCTTAAATTTAGTGGCCACTCTGTGTTTTGCTCTGTCACCCATTGTTGGTGAGTGCAGTCAAACTTTAAACTTTAAGTCAACGATACCGAGTTGACCATATTTTTTGTCGATGATGAAGAATGTGTTGGGAAAAGTAGCATTTTTTTATGTGCCACTGCCGTGATTATTTTGCAGCGAACTTTTCCTTACTCTCTTGCTTGAACTTTCGTGCGCCAAGCAGATTTCTACGCTCAACGTTCCTATTGCATCAAGACTCACACCGCTCTTCTTTTGGACAACATGAACCTGCTACGAGTATGATTCGCACGTTTTCTACAGTTGAAGAGTTGTTCGAGTTTGGGGAATCTGCTGCTCAATTCCAGAGACGTATTATTAACTCCAGATACATTTAGTATTTGTTATGGCTTCTGGTTCATTAAGACTTATTGTCAGATGGATGTATTAAATAAAAATAAAAATAAAAATAAAATAAAAATAAAATAATAGTAATTTAGGTGATCATTGTGTACCAGGTTAGTTTGGTTTTATAATTTCTTCGCTTCTTTATTGCGTATGTTTGACAGTTACACGTATTTCGTTCGCAAGGTATAGCATTTTGCAGTGCAGCTAGTGCTTGATCCAACAAGTGCTAGAATTTCAAAACTGAAAAGTATTTAAAAGCCCTACGTTCTGCTGCATTAAATTTGATTCCATTCCGAACTCAAATTGTGTCTAGCTTGTAACTAATAACTATAGAATGAAATGGTTGAAATTGCCTACCAACTATCCATCCATTTGCCTATGGGAAAACCAGCAGACATACTCGCTCCTAAATGCTTCATAAAACTTAAATACCATTTTCTGCATTAACCACCCCTTCGTCTAATCATCCGTACAAAATGTGTGTTAAAAACAGCTATTACCATCAGTTTAGCCATTAAATAGGCGTCAAAATACCCACCACAAGCATAACTAACCGAGTCTAACAACGGAGCCATTGGCAACAATCGATATAAAGAAATTAAATTGTATAACGATAAACTCCACTGACTGACTGACTGACTGACTGGCTGACTGATCGGCAGACTGGTATTATTAATTTCTTCATGTGCGTTCATGTTTTCAGAGGTCTTTGGACACAGAGGCCACATGATGCTCAAAGTTTCGCCGGCTTCCCAATCGATACACGATTTTTTCCCTCTCGTTTCGATACGCGCATTTCAACATACTTGGGTACTTGCACGTTTGTTGCTGTTACTGGCTGTACGATCGAAGTACCTACACATTTGCCAAATCGAGATTGATTGAAGAGAGCGAATGACGTAAGGAAGGTTGAATCGTGGTGAACGATTCTAGTAGGGTCGTTCATTCAACCGTGAACTGAAGAGCCGCTTAAGCAAAGTTCAAGAGCATTGCACTCGCTCTGTATCGGGAAGAAATGTGGAATGTGGGTCACTTCGGGTTGAAGCATCTTTGCCCGGCTGCTGCTGCTGCCGTCGTTTCGACGACGGGATGTTCGCATTCTGAAGATGCTCGCACTCGATCCGACAACGCAGGAGGAGAAATGGGTGCGGATTGGAAAAAAGGTCTCTGTAAGCACCTTTCTTCGGCTTCCGCACTCTTGTGTGAAAACTGTTTTGTAATTTAAAGAGAGGCGGAATTGTTTGTCGATTTAATTACAAGTCATTCGTGGCGTTTAATGGGGAGGAAAGTGGAACGTTTTATTGCTCTTTTCTTTCGGAGAGGTATGGCGGCGGCTGCCGGGTCAAATATCTGCCTAGCGGGATCTCTATGATTGCGATTGGTTATTATCGTTGTGAATTGTGGGGAGAAATAGGCCTTCTTCGTTCGGGGTCTTTGTTGGGTATGAAATGACTCGTAAAAAGATACAATTTCGAAGCTGAAACAGTTTAAAACTATTTGGACCATTCAATCTGATCATTAGATTAATTACACACTCTTTTTCCGTTCCCCTTTTTTTGCAGCATCACGATGTCCCTGCCGGGACTGCCCCCGCTACCGAAGAGTCTTAGTGGTTTCGATCTAGCAGGTCACCAGCTCCAAGCTCACCAACTGCACCACCTCCAGCAGCAGCAACAGCAGCATCAGCAGCAGCACCATCAGCTGCAGCAACACCATCATCAGTCATCTCATCAGCAGCACCATCTGCATCCGCCACAGCATCAACCACCACCTCCACCTTCTCAGCAATTGCTGCTACAGCAGCAGCAACAGCAGCATCAGCTTCCTCCATCCCTGAATCACCACCCGACGAATCCGTTTATCCCGATCGGGATCAATCTGCAGAGTGTCAGTATGGCCTCGTTGGTTTCGCAGCATGGCCATTCGCCGGTCAGTACCGTCAGCAGTGGCAACAGTATCGTGGCAACACCAAACAGTGGTTCCAGCAGTGGCGGTGGCAATGGTGGGAGCAGCATTCGGAAGCCTACCAATCTAGATACCCAGCTGGCGATCCTGCGGAGAGAAATGGTGAGTTGGGTTTTACGTAATTTTTCTGGGCATTGTGCAAATTTGTTTGTTTTATCCAAAGATTTATGTGAAGAATCTACCGGATAGGTTTTATTGTTTTTATCTAGGTATAGTAAATAACCTCATATACATATTCTGTAGAATAGTTGTTGGAAACCTTTCCAATTAATTTATAAAATTTTCGTTAATTTATTTTATGAATTAAGTTGATTTCCGCCTTTATATTGGGCATACAAAATCATCTTGTAAGGATTTTTGTATGATTAAAAAATTAGTCAGGAAAAAAATCATGTTCGCTATACTGTCATTAAAAGCATATCAATCCCACCTGAAAAAAAACAGCAAGTTGCCAAAAAAAAAAAACTTGATTTTTGTTTGTTGACTCCTATTATACTGCCTTGTCCTATCAAGCAAATTAATTGCATATCAGTCGCATCCTCAAATTCAATCGTTCAAAGGAGAAGTTGGATTTCTGCTTTTCGAGTTGCCATATTTTTCGCTGATATAACATAACATGCAAGCTTCAAAGCAACTGATTTTATCTTGAAAACTTATTAATAATTTTACTATGATTTCTTAAATTTACATGGGAATCACACTAACTTCGACTGTCATTTTCTCAATGCCTACTTTTTCCATATGGGACTGGTATGAGATTATAGGCAGTATAAGACTTGCTACAGTGAATCTCAAAATTGAGCTGCCCTTAAGCTTTAGAAAAACAGCTCTACGAGCACAATTTAAAAAAAAATAGATTTTTGATTTTTTGCTGGCTCATCACACGTTTATTGGTTATCGATAAAGTTTGGACATATTTAGTTGAGTGTGTTAGAAGTTAGAGCTATTTTAGAAAATTGCCCTTATCTCAGTAAATATTTTTTTTAATACAATGAACCAAACTATTTGAAATTTTGCTCATTTTGAGTCATAATAATCTGCAATATGTCACTAATTTTACTAAAATCCTTTCACTACACAAAAAAGTTGAAAAGCGAGTGTTGCTAAAATTGCTCAAACCTCTTTCCATTTCTTTCTTAAATCAATAAATAGTTGTTCGACCTCCAGCTCAGATTATAAAAATCTAGCTATTCAAAGTGTTAAAAAGAATTGTGTATTCAGGTGTGTATTCTGAACAACACATGCAACTTTGAGTGAAAATAGTGAAATGCTGGTATATACACACTTAGAAAAATTAATGTAAATTTAGGTGTTCTGAGACTGACATATACGAGCATCAATTTTGACATAAAATTAAGTGATATTAGACGTGAAATTCAGCTCAATCAAACGTACTTTCGAATTTTTCAGTCTCGGAGCACATAATTTTACATGATATGTTTTTTTACATCTCATCCTTTATGTCAAAGATGGATTCCGTCACGTGTAAGATTAGGTATTTCTAAGTGTGTAGTTTATTGACTTTCTCCGGAAGTTTCTTCCGACTTCGCCCGCAAGTTTCGTTCAACTTGGCCAGGAAGTATTTTTCGACTTGTCTGGAAGATTCTTTTGATCACCGGAAATTTCCACCAAAATATTCCCCGGATGCTTCCAAAAGTCTTTCTGGATCCTTCCGGACATTTATTCTGACCTGTCCATGGACATTTCTTTCAACTTCCTTCGGATATTATTTTCCAACATTGTTCAAGTTTATTTCAAAAAGTCCTTCTGCTGAAAATGTCTTTCGACTCCTCCTCGAAGTTTGTTTTTAGTTAAGCTAGAAGATTTTTCCGTCGTCTTGCGGGAGTTCCGGCCAACTTTTCCCGGAACTATGATTCTTCCGATTCTCCTTGGAATATTCTGCCAACATTGCCCAGAAGTCCCTAGGAAGTGTCCGAAAATTTACTCCAGAAGTTTCTTCTGACTTCTCCTGAAAATTTATTTCTTCTTTCTTCTCCCGAAAGATTCTCCGATATTTCTCTGGAAGTTTGTTCCAACTTGCCTCCAAAACTTTTCCAACTTATCCTGGAAGTTTTTTTTTTGGGAATTCTTCTGGCTTATCCAGGAAGTTTTTTTTTTCGATTTCACCCAGAAGATTCTATCAAAATCTCTCGGATTTGATTTCAAATACACCTTTGTGCTCATTGTTACCTCTAACCTCTAGCAAGGCGTGAGTAATCGGCCCTCGTTCCACTAACATTAGATTTGAGGAAACTCAACTTAATAAAAATTGAACTTTGGCTCCGCAAAGCTAATGCGAAGGAGTCTTGACCAAGGAATCACAAATATCTCAAAATAACAAAATGACAAACGATCATCGAGCCGAACGATACCGCTATTTCAGAAATGGTAAGCAATAATGATGTAACTTCTTCTCATTTTGTGGGGATTCCGATGAAGCTATGTCATCAACAGTGTATATTGCAACAAAGCAGACAAGCAATATACCATCATACTTCTACAACTCCGATCAAGCTATATTACGGAGGGAGAGAGAGAGAGTTTATCGTGGTAGCGTTTTGTCTTTATGATTGGTTGCTTTATGTGTTTGGATTCCCTTTGAAAGCTTCCTTCAGATTTTCATAAATTTCGTTCTCTGATGTATTTTTCTGACATCCACCAAAACTTTGTCTGACTTTCTCCGAAAATTTCTTCAAGCAGTCCTTCTGGTCCCTCCCGGAAATTACTTTCGATCTCCCCCGGATGTTTTTTCTGACTTTGCCCGAAAGATTCTCCCATCTTCCCACACAAGTTTGTGTCAACTTCTCTCGAAAAATTCCTTCGATTTAACCCGGTTGTTTCGACTTTTTTCAGAAGTCCTTCTGGCTACCCCAAGGAAGCGTCTTCCCACTTTCTCCGGATGTTTATTCTTCTTTATTACTCCCATCTGAAAGTTTCCTTCATCTTTAACCGGATAATTTTTCAAGCTCCTCCGTTTGTTTTTCGGATGTTTCTGTCAATTTCTCCAGGAAAATTCTTCTGATTCCCCCGGAAGATACATACCTTCTGGCCTCCCCAGGAAGTGGCATCAAAGTTTCTCCGAAAGTTTCTTCTGACTCCCTCCAGAATCTTCATCCGATTTCTGCTGAAAATTACATCCGCCAAAAAAAAATTTTCCGACTTCGATAGGAAGTTTCTCCCGACTTCTTGCGAAAATTTCTTCGAAGCTTCGTCGAACTTTCCACGAAAATTTAATTCAAGTTTTTTTCTCCGGAAGTTTTTATTTTCATGTTTCTATTGGAAGTTTCCTTCAGAATTTCTAACAGTAGTTTCTTCCAATTTTGCCTAGAAGGTTCTTCTGACCTCTTTTGGAAACTTGTTTCAACTTGTACAATATAATTTTTCCAACCGCTTTCCTCCCTGCAAATTTCAATTGTTTTTTTCAGCTTGCCCCGGAAACTCAGATTTCCCCACGAAGTTTTTCAGACTTCCTCCGGAATTTATTTCGCCTTCCAACAGAAGTCCTTCTTGTTTCTTCTGGAAATATCTTAGACTGCCCCGGATATTTCTTTCCGATTTATCCCGAAAGTTGATTCCGATTTATATCGGACGTTGATTCCAACGATTACCGGAAATGGCTTCCAAGTCTTTCTCTGGAAAATTTCTTCTAATCTCTTCCGAAAATTTCTAACCTTAAAGGTTGAACACGAAAAAATCCGGACACGAGGATCTTGTTGGGGTTTGTTTTAAATTGCGTATTATTTTTCATAGTTCAATGTTTCAGCTGTACATTAGTAGGTATTATGCTTATTGTAAGGCCATTATTCCATCCTTCATTCTTACCATAGGTCATTGATCGAACTTCGTACACGGCACGAGCCCTGTTCCCACTTGTTTGACTGCCAAATTCTATTTCCGCTTGAAATCCTCCAGGTCAATTCCAGTTCCATTCTTTTTCCTCAGTATGTGCTTTACAATTGACCAGTACTCCTCAATTGGCCTTAGTTCCGGTGTATTGGCTGGCTTAATCACCTTGGGAATTACTGTGATGCCATTTTCACTGTACCACTGTTCGGTGGAATTTGAGTAGTGGCAGTAGTCCGGACAGAATAGGCAATCCACTTCATGCTGCTCCAGAAAAGGCAGTAGTCTCTTCCATAGGCACTCCTCCTGCTAAATTTGCTGGCAGTAAGTAAGTAACGAAAGTTTTGCTCAGCCCACAACTGCAGATAGCTTGCCAGACTAAGAACTGTTTCGGGAATTTCGGTTTTAGAGACCAGTATTTTCTTCTGTTTTACGAAACATGATAAGTTGTAGTGAATCCGAAACTTGTACCGGCTCGCAGATTAGAGGCTGTTCATAAACCGTTTTTAAGAGATTTTGACCTCCCTCACTCTACATAGAAAATCGCCCATACACATAGTTGAAAATTTGTATGGACCGTAGACAATAAGAACCCCCCCCCCCATCTATTTGATTAAGGATTTTGCATTCATAAAATTCAACTGAATATGGGCCTGGCGTTAATGTTTAGCATTCATGCTTCTCACGCTGAAAGACTTGAGTTCAAATCTCACTCCGGACAAGGTGTAGAACAAAACAAAAAAAAAAAACAATTAGGGACACATGAACTTAAATTAAATTTCCAATAAGACGTTAACACCCAAACTTGAAGTTCAGTTGCTTTAGTTAAAAAAAAACTCTTGACTGCATAATGGGAGTTTAAAATGATATCATAAGTCTGATCGCTTTGCTTTCATTTTGTTAACTGACTTTGCTGTACCCTTAACTCGATGGATCATTATGTAGAATTTCACTTGGCCTAATGCTAGTTTGCTGAATTCCATTAGATCCGAATCCACATTTCAGCAAATGGCATCTGCAATGTTTCAATTTCATTTAATCATAAAGTAGGAGCAGTATCTAGGCGGAGCCATCGCTGTATTTTTATTTTTAATTCGAGATTTCAAACTTATTTCTTAATACGAGATCTTATTCAAAATTCTTCAAATCCAGGCTCATGAAAAATGTCTATAGTTCCTCGACCTTTTTCTAAAAGACATTTACTGGTTCAGTCCAGTACCGGAAAATGCTCGAAATGCAATCCTACTGTTCTTCATACC